CATGCTGAGTTTTCCAGCAATTTTTGTTATTGATTTCAATACTGTCACTTCCTGGGGCATAGCCCCATTATATCAATGTCAGCCCTGAGTGAAAGCATCTAATAAGCCTGGAAGGAACACAAACCCTCAGTTCCTGGACCACTAACCCACTAACTCGTTTTGCCATTTTCATGCCACTTTCTAGGTAAAACAGCCAATGCCAGTCCAGCTGAGAAATAAAATGTTCAACCTAGTCAAGGCAGTAATGCTTGCTGGGTTCTCTAACCTGTACTAGCTAACAACACCTCTGATTAAAACATTTCTCATCCTTATTTAATTATTCTTCCATGACTCCACCTCAGTGACAACCTACAACACAACAAAATATCTGACACCCAACTCCCCTAATTAAGGCCTCTTGCACATCCCTAAATCTCATCATTGTCCCCATAGCTGGCCCAACCTGAAGCTGGAAAGGCAGTAGCCTCTGGAATACCTTCCCTAGTCCTCTCTACCTCTCTCTCCTCCTGTTAAGAGGCTGTCTATAACCTACCTCTTCAGCCAAATATTTTGACATCTATCCTAAAGTCTATCTGCTGCAGTCTCTTGTGGTCTAGTGGAAATTTCCTTAGTGTTTCATAACATCGCTGAACAAGTTGATTCAGGAAAAATAGGTTAAAGAAACCTCTACTTACCCACCTTTTCCTTGTCACCCTCAATTCCCTCACTGATGAAAAGTCTATCTGTCTCAGCTTTGAATATACTTAATGACCCAGTCACTATGGTGAAAGAATTCCATTGATTCACTGCCATCTGAGAACTTGGCCCTACTGTTTGACAGTGCTGTAACCATTCCCCTCGGTCCTGCTGCCCTCCAAAAGTTTGGAAGTCACAACTTCCATATGCTATCAGCCAACCCTACTGGGGGGGTGGTGGTGCTGGGGTGGGGGGATCATGACCCAAGGTTTGGGAGGCCTTGGGTCAAATATTGGCCTGGGTTACCAGAGAGAACTTTGAGAAAAAATGTATCAGAGTTTCTTTTACATTTAGCTGAAAGGGTCTCTAGGACCTTCATTTAACATAAGACAGTACCTCCAACAGTGCTGCTCCTCCTCAGAATGCAACTGAACTATCAGCCTGGTCTGGTCACCAAAGGGGGACTTCAACCCAGAACCTCTTGACTCTGTGAGCCCCTGAATTACAGCTGATGATGTGGGAGGTTCTGTGTCCATGCCACCTTTGCTCATCTCAGTGGGAACAGCCTTGTGAGTAACTTGTTGTGGAGTCATAGCTGCTGAGGCATATGGGCAAGGGTCACTGGTGATTAATGTCTCAGCAGGATGAGTACTGGGACATGATCTCGACTGTGATTAACGTCAATGAGAGGGAGAGGTAAATTAGAATTAGAATTAGCTTTATTGTCACGTGTACTCACATGAGTACAATGAAACGTTTACAAGTCTCCACTTACCATGCCATCATAGGCGCAAATGTACCTAGGTACAGATTCTTAAATACAAATTCTTAGGGAAAAAAATTAGCAAAGTAAAGAAATAAAAAGTAGGAGGATAGGAAGAATGACACAGAGCAAGGAAGGGGTGTGAGTGAAAGGAACGGAGGGGGCAGGAGAAGTAGGCAGGGATAGGGAGGAACAAGGAGGAGGGAGGGTGGATAGAGGGAAGTGAGAACAGAAAGGAAGGAGTTTGAGCAGGGAGAGAGAGGAGAGAGGAGAATAATAAGGAGGGAAGGGGAAGGGAAGGAAATGAGGAGTGGATGAGGGAGGTGGATGGAGGGGGATACTAAGTGGAATAATGAGGAAGGGGAAAGGGGAAGAAAGAGGGAAAGGGCAGGAAGTCAGGTTGGGGGGGAATGGTAGAGAGGGAGGGAGAAGGGGATGTGGGTCAAGGTGTAGTGAGGAAAGGGGACAAGAAGAAGAGTGAGGAGATGGGATGGTGGGGAGGGGAGTCAGAGGGAGAGAGAAGTGGGGGAGAAGAGTGGGAGGGGGAGGGCAAAATAAGTGAGGGTGGATGGGGGTCAGCAGTGGAGGGGAGGAGAGGGGGTAGGAGGGGACGAGTAAACAGGCTGTACATTAATCTCTAAACAAGAAATAAGAATATTTTTCCTGAAGATCTTCCGACCAAGAACATAACGGGTCCTAACCTACACCCAGAAATCTAATGAGTAATGACAAATGTTGTCTTCCGGGGAGTTTGGAGGGTGAGTTTCTAATGAGAGAGATACTTAACTCAGTCACCCCGATTGGTTTGTTATCTGCTGAACTGATTTAATACAAAAGATCAAGAAATCCCGTTTATTTTTGTTGAAGATTAATAACTTGACGTTAAACCAATGAGATAAGGGGATAGAAATTCAAATTCCTACATTTTAACAGGAGATTGTTTTCCTGAAATGTTTCGTTGAATTATTGTGGTCACATCTGCCCCCTGACTAGAAATTACTCCTTTAGGTGTTAAAACAAAGGAAGTTTGATTGTAGCGCACTGTCATTGGAATGTTGTCAGCGGGTAAAAGAAACTTTAATTCTGTTAGTGAATTTACAGACACCTTTCCTGCCAGCCCTGGTAAAGGTCCCCGCTTGTGTCACGCAGACAGAAATGCAGCTCTCAAATTGGCGACTAGTCTGTGATCAATCCACTTTGAACCTAATGTCCGCGGTGAATAAAGTGTGATCGGGACTCTCTGTGAGATTGAATTAACCTCACATCAGATAACACTGTGATTCAGGCGTTAAACGGAAGGATAAGTTAATAATGTAATCGACTTTAACAGAACGTGCCGTAACAAAATGAACCGCTAGCCCTTACTGAGGTGAATGATTCGAGTTTTATTCCGCCTGTTTTCTCTGTGAATGCATTGTAAAAAAGTTACGTTTACCGTGGCTGATTCGGTCTGGATCTGACGTGTTACAAACTGACGTTAGTTGTGTTTTATACTTAACCCAGCGACTGATCTTTTTGTTTTCAGTGTTAAATCTACAGATTCCAACGCTGTACATTTAAATATAACCCATTGCAGCATTGGGAATCCCAGATCGTGGAATAGATTCAAAAGTGTTCCCTTAGCTAGGGAGGCCTAACGTAAAACAAAGAACTGTGGATGGTAGAGACCGGAAACACCCACAAAAACCAACAGAAATCTGCTGGAAAAACTCAGCAGGCCTGGCAGCGTCTGTGGAGAGAGAAATACAGTGAAGATCTAACGCAACGTTTTAGTTCGAGGAAGCGAATATAGTGCATTGCCAAGCGAGCTGTAATTCAATCCTTGTGAAAACTGGTCTACCCTTAATTATTGTGACCACAATAATTGTGCAGTGTGCTGTGCACACTACGCAAGAGCATCTCTTGGGTTGTGTTAAGGTGCCACTGTCAATGGAGCATTGTAAAGAGACAGCTTTGATACTTGCCTCCCACGCGTTGCAGGGATGGGGGTGTACACTCTCGGCGCACATCTTCCTGTTTTCTGTAGAAGTGTTTGTTGTGTTAAATAAAAGGATGTCGCCCCCGAGTCTGTGGGGATATTTCCTGGGGCCCACTGAACTATCAAGGAATCCCACCTCAATGAAATGATGCAACCACTCTATTTAACGTGTCAGACTAGCTGTTACCCAGAAATATATTTACAACGCACAATGATGTGTTCTTTACTTGTGAGAAAAATGTAATAAATAGCCCTCAAGCGAAAGATTCACATTCCCGAGGTGCTGGCTCTATCATTTTTTAAAAAAAAAATACAGGCTATCAACCCAAGTCTCGATTCAGATATAATTTCCATTTCATTCAGCATTATCAATTCTTCTTTGATTTTTCTTACAGTAAACGAATTGGAAAAAATTCTCTCCTACATCCCAATCCTGACTAATTTTATGCTGTGCTAACGCTCAATTGTAGAGGTATTTTAAAATTACCTTTCAGATAAAATGCTTGGGTTTTTTTGGCGGCAAACTGACGATAGATCCGAGCTCCTTCCCCAGTGCAACCTCCCCTCCAACTCCCTCAATTCTCCCTCATTCACGAAACTCATAAGGAATACAGTATGAGAGGCATTTATCGAATGTTTGAAAAAAAATGTCATTTTATAGTGGAGTTAACTGCATGAAAAGAATGTTGCAGTGCACCCGGGAACATGGTGCATTCATAAAAAAAATCGAGCATTTCGTTCAAATGCTCGCTCCGGATATTTCTTCAAAGTATTAAAAGAGACGCGGGCTCTATAGGCATCATTCACTTGAACCGTGTAAAATACAACGACACCCAATCCGTTCCAAATGTCGGTGGAAACAATTTTACTTTCGAAACCCTGCCTTTCAAATGTGAGCAGAAACAGTGGCTGCGTTGCTAAATTTGTAGAAAGTGGTGCCACCAGCAGATTTTTAAACATTCCCGTTCAGAAACAAAAAGAAATCAGCGGACGCCAAATGGTGACCGATTGCGGAGAAATAACACATTACTGCTTCCTGCCACAACAAAAATTTTTTTAAAAATTCCATGCCTACGTTGCGGGGCAATGCTTTTAACGACGGTTAATTACCCAAGGTTGATTCAAAAAAAGAGCCTGCAATTATGTAATTTACAGGGGAGTTTTACCCGGCCAGACGCTTCATATTATTTGTACATTAGAGTCCTGGAGTCATTTGTTTTGTTTTTTTATATAGTGTGTTTGTTTTGTTTTCCGCTGTCCATTTCATTAAGGGACAGGAGGATACCTCTTTATTTCTTTCTCTTTTGGCTTCCTATCTCCATCCCTCCCTAGTGTGAGAGCGGAAATTCCTGCTTCCAGTTGCAGAGGAGGGGGTTAGAGAAAGCAGCTCACCCTTTTTCCCTCTCTCTCTCATCCCCCTTTGTGAATGGCACTTCTAAAGCTTATTTGCATACACACCAGCCCCGGGTCGTCGCCCGGGCAACGATTGTGACGTCAGAGGGTGGAATCCATGGGCTGATTGGCTGGGCGCGGCCAAATGTAGCCATTTGTGGGGATGCTGTCTTTCTATTGGGTAGAGGGGTTGAGCCCAGCTTTGTTACAGAGCGAGCGGTGCGGCGCCTCCCAGGGTCATTGAAAAAACAAAACAAGGGAGAGAGATGTCGTGTAATCATTCAGCAATCCGGGGCCAATCGCGAACAGACTGATTTCTGACTTTTTAAAAAATCCTCTCTCTCTTTCCTTCCAGCCATTCAGAGCACCTTTGCAAAACAAAAGCGTTTGCGTTTTGCAAGACATTCCCCTTTTTTTTATTGTTGTCGCAAGCGTTCCCATTGATTCACACACACACAGCGATTCTTGTGGCTGGCTGTTTTGGTTTCTCTCTCTGAGGGGTAGGTTTTGTTTTGACCTGATGCTCGGTCAGTGAGGTGTTGTCCCCATGTTAGAGAAATTTCCTTGCGCCCCGTTCGACTCGGAAATGGCGTTCTGCAAGGCGACGGGCTGGCTGCACGACCAGCTGGAGAGGGGCAACGACCGGCTGCTGGTGGTGGACTGCAGAGCCCATGAACTGTACGACTCGTCGCACATCGAGGCGGCCATCAACGTCGCCATCCCCGGGCTGATGCTGCGACGCCTGAGGAAGGGCAACTTCCCGGTCAAGTCGCTGATCTCCAACAACGAGGACAAGGAGCGCTTCGCCCGGCGCTGCAACACAGACATCATCCTGCTGTACGACCAGAGCACCCTGGAATGGAACGAGAACATCAACGCCACCTCGGTGCTGGGCTTGCTGCTTAGAAAGTTAAAGGACGAGGGCTGCAAAGTGTTCTGCTTGGAAGGTGAGAGGCGCCAGTTCACAACGACAACCTGCGTTTTTTTTTAAAGAAAACAGAAAAATGTTGATTTGAAGACGGAGCGCTTGAAAGCGTTGCCGCAGCTTACGGAGGAATGGGGATCTCCCGACTGGTCCAATGTGTTCAGGTCCAGTTCAAATCCTCTCTTCCCCCGTGAAGTAAACAGGTTTTGTCGGGACTCGTAGAGAATATAATAGGACAGCGAGTTGTAATGCATTGGACTCGCTGCTTTAAAACGCAGTAGAGGCCGGTTAAATAATAATTTTGAAATATACTGTAAATGAAGAAGGGAATAATTTGCAGCATGCTGGAGTAGGGTTGGTCTGAGTGAATGGGGGGAGAGTGTGTGTGAGAGAGTGTGTGTGAGTGAGTGAGTGAATGGGGAGAGAGTGTGTGTGTGAGTGAGTGAATGGGGAGAGAGAGAGAGTGTGTGTGAGTGAGTGAATGGGGAGAGAGAGAGAG